TGGATACTTTGCTCCATTCTACCCTTTACCCACCTCCTCGACAATAGTATATCGTACACCCACACACTAACAACCCATGATTCAAAGAGAACGGAGGAACGGAGGAACTGAGGATAGCTCCGAGTCGCATTAACATAAAATGGCTACGTAAAACTAAAATCCAACAAATATCCATACAGTAATAATTAACCTTCCATTCAGTCCGTTCATCATGCATCATCGGTCCTCATTGCGTCCAGACTTGGTTATTGTTATTATCGGTACATTTCCAAATTTGAAGTTGAGCACCGCTCGTTAAGTTGCCGTTTGGCACGTCAACGCAGAATCCTATGAAACAGGACGCAATCAGCCACACGATCCAAGGCGGAGAGAGAGAAAGAGGGGGGATGAATCATACCTTGGTCTTTCAGCGCAATTCGATTATCATCGGTCCAATACCAGTCTTGAGCGGGTAGGTTATCATAACATTGCCAGACTTTCAATCCGACGCCGTTTTGGGGGGCTATCACCACGGCCGCGGGGTTTCGGTTAGGAGCGGAAGGAAGAGAAAAGGAGGCAGGGAGGACTCACAGGATCCAGCATCGAGACAGAAGCTAGTACCAGCGACTTGGACCTTCGTCTCTCCTTTCTTGATAACCCATTGTTCGTTGTACGAAGTATTACAGTCGAAGCTACATTGAACAAGGGGAATAACACATATAGTCAACATGGGGTGATGTGAGGTGAGAGGGTATGATGAATTGCGAACGAACATTCCAACTGGGGTACCGTTTTGGAGGCTAAGATCAATGGCTGAAATACATTTGGTGGAGTTGGTGGTACCAGCGCGGATGACGTTGGCGGTGGCCGATAAGGAAGTAGCGAGGATGGTGAGAATGAAGGTGGTTGAGCTGATCATGGTACTGTATGAAGAATTCCTGGAAGGGTTGGGTGAATGCGACTCGGAGGGAGAACGAGAGAAAGAAAGAATGAAGATATCGAGCCTTACCATTTCCGACAAACCTTTATACAAAATACTCGGCACGGGGTAACCGCATCACCATGCAATCCCGCTAAGGGGTCATCGTCGCAGATACCAAATGATGCCAGACCGTTACCAACAACTTCTCCATTCCCAAGGCAAAAAATTCGCCACTCTACCTGCACCTCAAACTCCATAAAGCTCAGGTGTTAGAATTTCCTTCTTATCGGATTCTCCGATATGTCGCTCGTAACCTAGCGGTTTACTCGTTGATGCCGACCATCAGATTACACATTCCAGTGCTCTTATCGTTTGGGTCATCGACTGGGTCTAAAAAGAGAAAGAGGTCAGTGTGCGGAGTCAACAGAGGGTCAGGAACGAGGGATTTACGTTGGATGCAAAGTGCAAAGTCGTCGCGATCGATGTGGGTTGACAAAAATGTTCTTGGCCCTGAAAGCAAATAAGCGTACACACACGAAGACTAAACGAGTGCATGAAAAAGTTAAGCGCCTGTGCATGCGCGGGGTCTCCATTCCCAATTTCGGCCACGAGTCTCCCCCTTCTAACTACTGGTACCAAAAAATTCTATCCCATACTCTGTACGCTCATATCTCTCACTGGGATTCGAACCCAAATAGCATGGAGGAGCAGGCGGTTTCGAATCCTAAACCATTTCTATGCGTACTTTCGTTGTACGATAAGAGATCTAGACACCGTCGCCGGTCCTTACAGCAATTCAAACTTGTCAAATTCCAAGTCTTGATTGGTTCCCCAAGTATGTACAGTACAACGAGTAGACAAAAAGTCTGCGTCCTACCTCAGGCCTTATATTCGTAAGAGGATTCCTTCCCCAAAAATCCCTACGCATGAAAAAAACTGTTGCATCTCACCGCAGGACTTTTACCGGGATTCGAACCCAGATGCCATGGAGAACTAACGACGCCGAGGCGATGGACCATTTCCATGCGTACTCCCCATTGTACGATAAGAGACACGACAATGCCACTCATCTGCGTCACCACCTTTCCACGGCACAGTACGGTAAATCCACTAGTCAAGCTAGCGCTTTAGAGGTCTAGGTAATCAGCGTTCGACACTCTCGAAACCGGCCTCCTCACTTGCAATTGGTTTATCAAAATGAACCCTGGAATACATTACTGGGATGTCTCTCATCGGGATTCGAACCCGAGTATCATGAAGAAAGTCTGAGACTCCTTTGCGGGATGATTTCCATGCGTATTTTCCGTTATACCAGAAGAGACAGTGTCACCCAGCACTCAAGTACTCAACGTTCAACACTTGGCTCGTCGCTTTTACAAATTTACGGAGTGAGTCTCACCTCTAACATGTCCCTAGCGCCTTCGAGTCCCTATTTATATTCAGCGTTCGACAATGCCCGCCAAAGCAGGAGTGGGCGCGAGTGAGCTTTACAAAAAAAAATGAGAAGGAGAGATATACAGATCTCTGACCGGGATTCGAACCCGAATATTATGGAGAACAGCTGGAATTTCACACTATTTCCTTGCTTATTTTCCGTTATACCATAAGAGACAGGATCACTAGGTCTATCAACTGGCCAAGCACTCGATATCGGCTAGCTACTGTAGCTAGTAGTCTGCCACCAAACTTCGATTGGTTCCCTATCGTCGTAGTAAACCCGAACTCAAAGACGAGAGAACAGAGCATTTATTGGGCCAGGCCCCAGCCTGGGGTGGATTAAAGATTGCGCCGGAAGTTGCAGAACTTGAGAATCGATATATCTCGCGCTCGAGCTCTTCGACAATTTCTTCTTGCTGGATATCACCAATCCATCAATTCAGCGACGGAAGATCTCCACAAGCGTATCAGCCGTCGACTGTAAATAAGCTCTCGTCGTCGGCAGTTGGGGTTCCGAGTCGATATATGTATGATGTCCCTGGATACTCTGGTCCAAACTGATTCTCATTGGCAATTGCCCACCTCTTTGATTTATCGCAGACGTACCACGAACAAACCATGATTCAAAGGGAAAGGATAGTTCGGATTAGCGCAATTGCTACGCAAAAGTAAAGGCTAACAAATATAATGACTAAACGTCCATACAGAAGTAAAAAAGAATGTTCGATGGGTTACGATGGTATACTAAAAGTCCGTTCCTCACTGCACAATCCAGACCTGGTTGTTGTTGTTGTCGGTGCATTGCCAGGTTTGGACTTGAACCCCATTCGTGGAGTTGCCGTTCGTCAAGTCAACACATTGGCCTGTTGAAAGTGATCAGAAAAACACTATCGAAGGCGGAGAGAGAAAGAAGGGGGATAGCTGAAAGCATACCTTGGTTGGTGAGCGCAATTCGGTTGTCGGCGGTTAAATACCAGTCTTGAGCGGGGAGGTTATCATAGCATTGCCAGATCTTCAATCCAACACCACTTTGAGGGGCTGTCACGACGCGGTTAGCTAATCGAACGAAGAAAGAAGGGAAGGTAGGGAGAAATAACTTACAGGATCCAGCATCGAGACAGAAGTTAGTACCGGCGACTTGGACCTTGGTCTCTCCGGGCTGAATAAACCAAAATTGGTTGGAAGCAGGGCCGCAGTCGTGGCTAGAAAGGCGAACACGTATGTCAACATCCAGGCTGGTGATGATCAACGAAAAACAAGCGACGAACATTTCAACTGGGGTACCGTTTGCGTAGTCGGCATTCGGGATCTCCAAGCATTTGTTTGAGTCGCTTCCAGCTGTGATATGTTGCCCGTATGGGTAAGGGGGGCTTCTGGCGACGGGAAGGTTGAGAGCGAGGGCCGACAGGGAAGTGGCGAAGATAGAGAAAACGAGAGTGTTTTGGCCGATCATTATGTGAGGGAATTAACGAATGTGAAGGACACTTGACACTTGGGAGGAAGAAAGAAAGACGAGATGTCGATCCGTACCTTTTCGCCAACCTTCTTTATACGACATACCATCGGCGAGGCATCACCGCGTCGCTATGCACCCCAGGTAAAACGATAAACCATAATTAGAAGCAACGTTATTGCTGATTGCTCATGGGAACTTCGTTGATCGACGAGACTCCAACTTGTCATCGAGTGGTTGCGACCCCATCATGTACCGCTGGGTAACCCTGTTGGAAGAAAGCTTCTAATTGTCCTGCGTCTGGATAATACCGAAAGGACTTACGGACTTGAACTCGATAGAGTCATTTCAAGTACTCTTCGCATTTCTCATGAATTTTCAGCAGAGGAGAAGTGACGACGGAAGCCTTCCAGTGAGAGGGTGTCGTCGATGTTGAAAAATCTCACGGCACACGAATCATATCAATTTTCGAAAGTTCCCGTAGTCGGAGATTGAATATTTATTGGTCACAATCGTATGATAGTTGGCCGGAGGTGTTTCTCCGTTTACGCACTGGATTTTAGCTCACACTCCACCACTACTCACCCTGTTCATTCTCGCATATATTCGAGCATCAACATGCGAAGTGCTATCACCATCTACTGTATCAGCACCTCAGTCTATACCTCGATCATATAACCTAGCAGCCAAAACAACAAATCGAGAACTCAACGCCGATTCCTGTGAGTGATACGACCACTTCCGTTCGGGTGTCCACCTTGGCGTCGGAATATGCAATACCTCTCTATCGTTGATATCGAGCCCACCTTTGACCATCGTGGACTTATGGGTCAGACGGGGATGGAGAAGATTCAGAAGAAATCATTTGTTAGCGTTGCGCGTATCCCTCAAGTTTTGATCTTTCGAATTCGCTTCTTCTGTTTTCCCTGTCCACTTCGGGTTCCGTCCTCTCCCATCTCTATCTGCTTTTGTTCTATTTTCATATTCACCCAACACACCTGACCGGCTCCCTTCCGTAGGACCCAGGTAGACTCGCCATCAGAGCTGATCGCCTACATCGACGAGCGAAGACCATCGTTGCAGGCATGTTGAGATACTTTTCCAACCAGAATTCCGTAATGGAGAGGGATGAGAACGTTAATCAAATGCACATACAGTATGCCACCCGTCTAGAGCAAAAAACCCGTTTCTTCTGATGTTATGAATAGCGTCTCTCACCGGGATTCGAACCCAGGTATCATGGAGGACCTGTTTGCGATATTTAACGATTCCATGCGTACTTCCATTGTACGATAAGAGACAACTATACCCGCCTTTTTGACCTGTTTCCGGCTTTATGAATTCGCATTCAGTGATCACCGAAGCCTTCGTTCTGCCCTTCAAATTCAAACGACGGGGCAATTCCTGTGCAAGAAAATCTCCGTTGTACAGAACGTGAATTCCGGATTCCCAATTTATCTCCTTATCAACGCAACTCATCCCTTCTTCTAGATCTCCTTCCTTGAGCGCTTGAGCTTTGACGTCGACCGGTAATCATCACTGCCTGATCGTAGTGGTGGCACAATCAGCCGCCGTCCTGCCTTTGATAACCCCCTCGTTATTCTTCCATATTCCTTCTCGGGACGGTCCAGACTCCAGACGTTCTCTTTGATCCCTTTGATCATGAGGCAGGTATTTAAACCTCTCGGGGAGCGTCATCCTGTCTTGTAACGCCCATCCAATCTGACCCCCTCATCTTGCTTGCCTTCGATCACCATGTCTCTCGCCTCCCATATCCCTCCTCTCGATGATCCCTATACCACTGCTCATCAGAAGATCGATGACGAAATCGCTGAACTCGAAGCACGCATCGTCGTTCTAAAAACCACTCGGAACACGTATAGTCCTATCTCCCGCCTTCACCCCGAAGTTATGCAAGAAATCTTCAGTCAGGTGTCTCGTGATAACGACACCGGCGGAAAAGCAGCCTTATTGCTCAGTTCCATTTGTCACAGCCTGGAGAGAACTTGCTCACCATACATCAGTGATCTGGACTTACATCGACTTCGTCAACCCAACTTGGATCAAAGAAGCTTTATCTCGGACACGAAACCGAAACCTTCGCTTTGTCCTCCGTTTTCCGTCTGGATATAGCGGCGACACAGAGTTAATTGTTTCCCTCTGTCTCCAAAACATCCATCGCACCACCACGTTTGCTATTTCCGGCGGGAGCGAGCTGAATACGGAGCTTGATACTGCCTTGAGCCCTTTATGGTCCACTCCTGCACCCCATCTATATAATTTGAACCTCTGGGGTCAATACCTTCCCATCACAATCTCAGCCGGAACGTTCTCTGCTCTTAAAAGGTTATCCTTGTCCTGGTGTAAATTTGATTGGGAATCGATACCTATTCACGCCGGCTTGAGGACCCTAACGATCACTTATCCTAAGTCGAAGGTTCCAGTCGACGATCTCTGGCGGAAATTACGAGACCTAGGGCCTGACCTCGAAAGACTTGATTTAGCACACGCTCTTCTACCAGCGGTAGCCTTCTCAGAGCTCAGACTCCCTCACTCAGAAGCACGACAACGGTTCCCCAAGATCAGGTCTTTCGAACTGGAGGTGGATGACGCGACATCAGCCACATTCCTACGTAATCGAATTTCACTACCTTCCGACATTGACTATCTTCACGTTGAAGTGTCGGGTGACACAGAGCAATTCGATGAAGTTCGGGCTTTGGTGGGATGTCGAGGCTCCGAAAAATGGCCTGTTGAATCTGTCTACATCGATTGGGATGATGAGAAATTTCAACATGAAAGGGGATTGGAGGACTGGAGTCAAGAACCACGGACCCGATTACGAAGAGATCGACGAGGATGACGACCGCCCACATATCTCTTTCGAGATGAAAACAACCAGAGGTGTCCTAGGTATCCTTCCTATATTCCAAATCCTCCCGCCGCTTCCCGTCAGGACTCTTTCATTGTGCGGAACCATTACCTCACAATATAGCTTCGACCATGTTATGGCTGCAATGACCCACTTCGATGCGCAGGGAACTATGGAACGACTTGATGTAGCCAGCTCCTTCTTCAAGTCTACGAAGTTCATGGCGATGATCTATAAACAGAATCATCGGATTCGCCGGGAACTCCTTAAGATCGCAGACCCAGAAGGAACACAACACGAGACCATCGTTATAATGGATGATGAGATGAAGGCAGAGACTCGGAAAATACTCACCTTGCGCAACCTCGTGACGTTGCGGTATCATCAGATATATGGAGACGATTTCGATTATTTGGTATCCGAGTACTATGGGTTTTACGCGAGTGGTTTATTTGGAGACGTGCTGTGGGGTTTGGATTGAAGAAATTGGTGTTTGGAAGTGTATTTGTGCAAGCTGGGACGGATTTGAAGGTGTTGTATGAGGGTATTGTGGATGATTTGGAGTGTAGGGGGTGTAGGGAGCCGTATGAGGATGCAGAAGCAGTTGGGTTTGATATATCTCAATTTGCTTGAGGTTGTGTTGGTGAGAGGTTCGATGTGAGGATACTTTATTTACAATTGGTTCGGGTAGAGGGGTATAAGTCACTTTTGGAG